AAAGCCCTATACTCACCGCCCCAATCAGATTGAATGATCTTAATCTTGAAACCTAATTGCAATTCAACCTGGTTTTTGAAATGAATGAAGGTTTGGAATGCATCCGACTTGCTTCTAAGCATGTAGATCCAAGTAAATCTAGAGAAAGCATCAATGAAACTTATATAGTACCTATAGCCACTAGAGGATTGCACAGGTGCCATGCCCCATAAATCAATGTGAACCAATTGTAAAAGAGCATTAAAATAGGTAATAGACAATGGAAAAGGAGACTTATGAATTTTACCAAGGCAACACGCAGCACAAATGGAAGTAGGGCTTTATTGCTAAGAGAAATGTTACAATTTTTCAGAACTGTGGTTACAATTTTGGCTGATGGATGGCCTAAACGATTATGCCACAACTCAAAAACTGGACAAGAAGGATAGACATCAATATTGGCTGTTGTGTTATTAACAGAAATGGGAACATGTGCATGAGAAATTGAATTATGTACAGGAGAAATAGGAAACCGAATGGGATGAGGCAGCTGCTGTTGAGGAAGGTTGATTTGATCTTGACCAAACACATACAGTCCATTCTTAAGGCTCCCCTTCAGAAGCACAGTTTTGGTAACCTGATCCTTAACAAAACACTTGTGAGAATGAAATTCAAAAAAGACATTGTTATCAAGAGCAAACTTAGATACACTAAGGAGATTTTTTATAATTTCAGGAACATGTAAAAGATTTTTTAAAGAAAGAATTTTTGATGCATAGGGAAAGGCAAAAACTAAACCGACCAACGTGACTAATAGCAAGACCCTTACCATTACCAACATAGACTTGTTCAGATCCAAAATAATATGTCATCTCCATCAGGTTGTCTGTATTCGGAGTGACATGGCTGGAAGCTCCTGAGTCGGGATACCAACTTGGATCCGCAACAGTGTCTGGAGTGGCAAGGAAAGCTTGAACATAATTAGAGTCCACAAACGGGTTGGAAGTGGTGGCAACATTAGCAACAGGACTTGGATAAGGTCTCTGTCCATTCTGGAAATGAGAGGGCCCTTGAAAAGAATGATCAAAACGGTAATAGCAATTAATGACAACATGACCAACACAACCACAAAGCTGACACTGTGGTCTGTTAGAGGGCCAAGAACCACGACCACCTCCACTGTTACGACCTCGACCACCACTGGAATTGCCCCCACCTCGAGATGGAAAATGACCAAAAGATTGAGACTGAAAATTCCCACGGGAAAAATGATTCCCAAATTGTGAGGAAAGACGAGAATTGTTCCCAAATTGAGGGAAAAAACCATATTTGAACCTTTCCTTGTTCCCTTGATTTGAATGAGAAGAAGCCAAATTGGTTTGAGCCGAATCAAGGGATTTATGATTCTTCTCAATCCACGCCTCTTGTGAAAGAAGAAGAGACTCAATTTCTTCAACCGTAAAAGCATCATTCCGAGCTTCCACAGTGAGAACAAACGTATCATATTCAGAGGATAATCCCTCAAAATTCCAACAAGATTCAGCATACTCACACAATGACGAATTTACAGCAAATAATCATTCATTGTCAAAGAAGTTTTCTTGATGTTTTTGAGTTGAGTCTTATATTGAGAAATTTTGGCACAAATCTGAGCAGCATAGTATAGATTCAGAGTGTACCAGACCTGCGCTAACATCTCGCAATCGACAACCCTAGAAAGAACGGTCTCGGTCATGGAAGAAAGAAGCTAGGACACCAACAGCTGATCTTGCTTCTCCCATTTCAAGAAATCTTGATTAATTCGTCCTGTGACTTCATCCGCGTCACTGAGAAACTTCATCGGTGAAGAATTTGAATCGGAGATGAAATCCAGCAACTTGTGCCCTCGAATCGTAGCAAGAGCCAACTTTCTCCACGGAAGAAAATTAGAATGATCAAGCCGAACTGAAATCGGGTGACTGAAGGAAACAGGATTGAAACGAACAGAGGAATTCGAAGCTTCTGCCATGGCGGACAAAGAACCACTCTCGCTAGAATCAAAAGGCTCTGATACCATATCAAGATTCAAGAAAAGGAGGAAACGACAATATCTGAAGAAAAGAATGTATTCTTCATTACATAATAATCTGTACAGTAAACGGCTTAAATAACTCAACTAAGCTCTAACTAATTACAATACTAGCCAATGTCTAATTGACACGTGTACAACACTCTAACAAACTAACTATCTCTAACAGGTAGTTTTATCAAGAAATTATTTTCAGTATAGAAAACTTATTAATATCTCTCTTTCTCTCTGTTCGAGAGAGGAAAAAACAAAAATAGAAAATGAAAAACGACTAAAAATCATTTTTCATTTATCTTTTATTTTACACTGAATTAAAAAATTGTTTTCATTTCTGTTTTTTATCTTTATTACGCTAAACGCCGTTTTAAACACATTTTCATTTTTCTTTCTCAAAAAACATAAAAAATAAAAACAGAAGCAATTACAAACACCGCCAATACTTTTCACACACAAAAAAACATGATATAGTACTAGCTAGTGTCACTCAAGATATGTATTAGACGGACCAATCGATGGCTAGCTTATTATGGTATAGGGTGAGACGCATTTTTTTTTCTTCCTCTTGTTATTTGTGATATGAGTCATCTTCATTACAAATAATGAAGATGCTAATGCCAATGCTCGATTAGAAGAAAAAAATTATTTCAAAAAATTTTTTTTTTTTTTCAAAATTTAAGCTTTCAAACTTATAAATTTGTAAACTTTTAATTTATAATTATTTGGAAATGAACATTTTTTAATGGCTATATAAAAAGATCAGACATTAATTGATAATTTTGAAATAATTTAACACAAAAATAATATTGTATGAGAGTGATTTTTCTATTCAAATATCAAAATTTATTATTTGACATGTTAATTTAACACAGCAACAGAGTTGCTCTAAGGTCAGATGTTTGATTATTCTATTTTCACTCCTATTATTCTTCTCTTGTCATTTGTTATCGTAGTCTCTAAATGTCGGATGTTTTATTTTTTATTACAATTCATTTATTTCGTTCCTTTTTTTTTTTTTTGAGAATTGGTTATATTTCGTTCGTTCAATTATAAATAGACACTTTAACAAAGTGTTGAAGGAAAAAAATCTAAAAATTCATGATGCAAAATTTCTATGTAAAGTTACATTTTTTTTGACAAAAAAAAAAAAAAAAGAAGAGAAAAGGATTAATAGACTGGAGGTTTATAAACTTAAATATGTGATAATTTGGTCCGGTTTTAGTTAAACTTTATGCTAGTCGTTAAAACGGTAGTACTTATATCAAGTAATTAAATTCACTTGTATCATTTCCCCAATTTTTCTAAGAGAGAAAAACTAGAATGGACTCGTAAAAACTACCAAAAAGCATGCATTACGAATTAAAGTACCCTCCCATAAAAAAAAAATAAAGTACCCTAAATATGTGTTCTTTTTTAAAGGAGAAATGGAAAAATAGTAAAATACTCTAAATATGTTGCATATATAGAGAGTTCATTCAATAGAATATTCATGATCGCTTAAGAATTTGACCTATGAAGAGTGTTTTTTAGACCATATTTTTCAATGCAAAATCTAATGCCATTGTATATTTAGCACTAAAAAATATGTTATTTTTATTTGTGATTTAATAAACAATATTATTTAAAATGCTAAATTTTTTTTTCATAATCATTAAACTTTCAAAGCAATAAAAGTAAACATTTATTTTTAAAATAATTGAATTAAAATGTAAAAATTGTAATGACAACATGAAAAATATAAACACATCAACCAATAACAGTCAAATGCTTAATTTGTCATATGCTACATTTAGTAAGTAATTTGTCACAAAATATAATACATGATCAATTTAACACAATAAATAAAATTTCATTAGAGAGTGTTTTTTCACTCAAATACTAAATTTGTAATTGATAAATAAATTATTACATTGCATTAAAGATTTTTTACACAAATTAAAAATAAAATTTTCATTAACACATAATTAATTATAACATCACATTAGATTTCTTACACAACTGAAAAATAAATTTTTTATTGACACATAATTAATTATAACATCACATTAAAGATGCTTTAAAGACGATCAATGAATAATTCTTAGAATACATGCGTGCATATTTATAAATTATATTCTATTAACACAGTAGCACACATGTAGGCAAGTATTTTCTTTTCCAATTAATATAGGCAAATTAAATCTAAGTAGAAAGTGTCAGAGGCAAGGATTTTTTCTTTCTGATAAATATGGGCAAAGCAATTCAAGTGGAAAGTCATCATATAAAAAACGTATATACGTAATTAAAGTCTCATTTATTTTATTAATTTAAATTTAAAAAATTCGAATCAACAACTATATCAGTCCTAAATTTAATTTATATCCTAATTAAGCTCTCGACGGACGTTAGATAAATTTTACAAAAGTTTATACGCAATTTGGCAAGTTAAGAATAATATCGAATAGGAAGGAAAATGAGAAAGCAAATGACGTAAAATAAAGAAAGACATGACTTGACATGATAGATAGAAGATTGCGAAAGCGTAAAAAAAAAAAAAAAAAAAAAAAAAAAAAGGAGGAAAAGAAAATGGATGTGATCTGTCAAAAACTCAAAACATAGAACCAAAAAATATATATTAATTTATATTAAATTAGAAAAAGTACAAGGGATAAAAAATGCGTGCAAGTGCTAGTTCTGTAATAATAAGACTGATAAATAAGTTCAATATCCCTTCTTTATCGCTCTCTCTCTCTCTAGATTCTCTAGATCTTTAGTTTTCTCTCTCTCCCTCTGTATATCGACTGTATTTCCTTCTCTTTTCATCTTCAATTTCCTTTTCTCTTTTCTGATCCCCACTTTCTCTTTTCTTTTTCTTTTCCTCCTTCCTTTCAAAATCTACGTCTCATATATATATATATATATATATATATATATATGTCTTAAGTAGATATATATACAGATATATATATATACATACATGGCAGAAGCTGATTATAATGATCATCTAGAGAACATGGAAAGATCAGCTCAAACTCAAACTGAAAGGAGGCTGCTAAACCCAGCAGCCTCGGAGTTCTTTCCCCAAAATCCGTCTTTTATTTTCCCCATCATCACCACTACTACCGATTATCATAATCATTATTTTCAAACCTTCCTTCACCCGCCGCCGCCGCCTCCGCCGCCTCCGCCGCCTCAGCCCTTTCAAATGTCGGCGCCGGCCGTTGAAGCCCGAGACCATCATCATCAACACCACAATCGGACGGCTGTGGTTGTCACTGATCATCAAAGTCGACACGATCATCGTCATGATCAAGATGATGATCAGTCTAGGGCTAGAAATATTAATAATTACTGGCCGCCGAGATCATCAGTTTTTGGGAGGAGAGGAAGCAGTGCTTTCTTCGGTCGGAGCAGGAATATGAATAATAATAACAATATTTCAATGCAGAGGCGAGTTTTGAGGGAAAAATTGGGTGCGAGAAATTATGAGGTTAAACAACAACATTGTTCGTCTTCCGAGGTATTACCAGCGCCTAATCTCATGCATGGAAGTGCCAATGACACCACCGTTATGATCCGGAATATTCCTAGTAAATACACGTATGTGTATATTTATGTTAATTAATTTCTACATATTTCTTTATAATCATTTCGTTTACATGAAAACTTTGCTTTTTTGGGGATTCAATGGACACTTTTTGGCCTTGTTATACTCTTTAATTCTCCAAGGTGTGATTTTCTTTTCAGATGATCATGAACTAATTGATTTGCCTAGGCAGCTAGCATTTTAGAAATTTATAACATGCATTTATTTGGGGCTTTGGTGATAATCGTTTTAATTAATTATATTTTCTGTACACTTTTTTCTTGTTGTGTTCATTTGCCTTCAAAAATGAATTGTTCTATTTAATGTTTCATGCTTTTTTTTTTAAGCTCGTCATAAACCAAATGATTTGCGCCTAGCTGGCTCGCCGTCAAATTTATTACGATATGCTTCATATGGGGTTTTTAATTCTGACCAAATTTATAATGACAATACGCGCCTAGTATGCAAATTTTCAGTGATTGATGTTAATTTTAGTCCGGTTTCTTTCCTTTTGATATCCTACTTGTTCAATTTTCTTCTCTAATTCAAATTATGCATTTGATCTCTGCAGGCGTCGGATGTTGTTGGATTTTCTCGACAACCATTGCATGCTTCAAAATCAAAGGGTTGTCAACAATAATGCTGCTGGAGAAAATGATCAACATCCAATAATATCGGCATTTGATTTCTTGTATTTGCCTATGGATTTCAGGTACATATATAATATGATCACGTATTATATGCATGTCTGGCTCTATGCTGCTTATTTTCAGTACAATATTATGCATGCATTACCGATGTACAATGCTAGCTTTTCTAGATTTCTACTGTTTATTTGGTTTCATTTCAATGTTTTATTATTGATTATGTTTCTGGTTTCAAAAGATTTTAGAGGTATATTTGAACCTATTTTTGGTTTATAATTTCTGTTTTGACATTTCACATGTTTATCTATATATCTATATCTAGCATGGCGGACGTCTTTCTGGTTGTTTAAAAAATGAAACAAATTATTTTTGTACACAAATCTATTTAGAACCAATTTTTTATCAATATTTTCAACTGAAAAAAGCATATATTAATGCGTTTTTTGTTTTCAAGCATGCACACACACACACACACATATATATATATATATATATATATTTGTGAGGAGTAGTCAGAGATTAACAACAGAATTACATTTATATCCAGGAACGAATTATAGTAAACGTAGTGAAGTAGTAAACTACAATATTTTTTTAAATGATCTCCATGGCAAGCATTATTTTTAATGAAGTTAAGAATTTTTCATTGACTTTTATTTCTGTATATTTTTCTTAGCCAACTTCTCAAAACCATGAGCCTGACAGTACTACAATATTTTATGAGAAAGATCAAATTTATTTAGTAATTTTAAAGAAAAAAAACAAAAAACAAAACATCGCCGGCTATGAGTACTACATAAAAGATTACCAAAATATGGATATCATACAACGTGATATTTATCAACGCCCTGCATAAACGTGTGGTCGAACTGAAGGTATAAGTGGACTTGTTTCCTCAGATTTAAGTGGACTTGTGGTTTGATTGAACTGCAGGTGTAATAACAAATTGATTCCATAATTATCTTTATCAAAACTTGATTGCATAATTATAAGAGATAATGTCAAATCATGGTTATGAAGGTTTAAGAATCAAAAAGCCAAATCATATGCGCTGCTTGAAGTACAAAAAGTAGAAGGGGAGGTATTTCCTCCTCCATACACACACACTTTATAGATATATTTATGCGTGTAGGAATGTATATATGCTTCTCTATATTTCTACTATTTTGATTTACATATTATTTTTTCGTCTCAGAACCGAGCTAAACAAAGGATATGCCTTTGTCAACTTCACAAGCCCAGAGGCTGCTTCCACGTTTTCTGAGGCCACCAACGGTCAGACGTGGGACCATTTCCACTCCTCTAAGATAACAAGAATAGCTCGAGCCAAATTTCAGGTATTTTGAGGATCATACATCTACAAACCTTTAGCTAATTTATATGGACTAGAATTATCGACTCTGTGCACTATTTTGTATCACAAAGTACAGGAATTTGTTGGGTTTTGTTTGAATCATGCATTCCATGCCGCGTGTGTGTATATATATATGTAACTATATATTTATTGTGTATGAGATATCGTTTAAGTAACCAGGGGTGTTGATTTGTTCGAAAAAACTTGTCAGGGAAAAGATAAAATTGTGAGATATTTTGAGAGCGTGGCGTTTCCTTGTGAAAAGGAAGAGTTTTTACCAGTTTGGTTTAGCCCGCCGCGTGATGGGACCAATAAGGAGTCGGTGACACAAACGACTGTTGGGAAGCTCATTGGAATTAGAAGCTAACATGGAAGACTCCTTATGATCGTCAGGCAATGCCCAGGTGAAGTCAATGGCCAAAAATTAATCTAATGATTAATACAATATTTGGGTTTCTTGTGGTGATCATTTTGATGAAGTGGGTCGTTGTTGTAGCTAGGTGATCATCGTGACGATAGAAAGCCGAGATGTGACAAAGCCTAATTTGCTTTCTCCTTCAACCTTGTGGGAATGTCAGTCATAGAATAGTACTAATTAAACTACTACTCTTAGATAGCTTCTAACTGATCTTTTTCTGTTTTTAATTTGACTTATTGTAATGAGACCTCTTTAGTTTGAAAAGTTTAATATTTCAATTGTAGGGTGGAGCTTGGCACCTGGACTGGTAGACTAGTTCAGGTGATGGGGTCCACCCTCCAGATAATATGTGATATATATATATATATATATATATAGTCTGTGTTTTCTCGTCGTGTACTCTTTTCTTTCCTCCTAGCTAGGTAATGAGATAAATGTTGTCTCGTTCAGTTTATTTATGTGAATTTTTAATTGAGTTTAAATGTAATTTTATATGAGTTTTTAATTGTAGTAAAAAAGTTATATGTGATTTTTTATGAGAATTTTTAACTGTAATAAAATTAAAATTGAAAACTTAAATTGGTGAAGTGAACGATGTGTATTTTCTCTTTTCAGAATTGCCCTTTAATGCCAGTACACCATATAATATGTGTACTGTAACGTCCTGCGTTTTATTTTTAGTTCTCTAATTTGCTTTTACGCCAGGACGAGCCTTTTGGTTAGCACTGTGTGGTAATTGGAGGGAAGCAGTGACCGATGATACCTTTTTATTGGTATAAAATTTCGCCCAACACCAAAAAGTCGACTCGTACTTTAGATCAATCATGAACTCGTAATTTGGATCAAATGAACACTTTAATCAATAAAGTACATTGGAACCACCTTGTTGAACATTAAGAACCCTGCAAAATAAACAAGTAAAACAAATTATGGGAGCACTGGTGTGGTAAATTGAGAGCACTCTGATGCTGTTTAATTCAGGAGACAAAGGTTTGTTATTGTTTAAGGGTTTCTTGGTTCTCTTGCAAATCCCCACGTCTTTGTGGCGTTGCCGCATCTAACTGTCACAGCGAGATGCTGTTGCGAACTTGCAAGAGCACTTGATCCGGCAACAGCAGCGGCGGAGAGATCTCGCCCCTGCATGGGCTGTAAGTCCCCTTTGCATGGAGGACACATCCGTGAGATTTGTTGTAATATTTTATGTTTTTACTCAAACGTTAATTACTAGTTAATTACTAAAATATGCTTTATAATCAGAATAATTACTTGTTTTTTAAGGAATAATATGTTTATTTAGTCTTTAAGTAATTTTTTCCCCTTAAAAACATTGATATATATTCATTAAATAATTAATAAATTATAGGTTACAACTGGTTGAATTAAGAACATTTAAATCGTTAAATTACTTATTTTTGCTAATAAAATTGTTAATTTACTTGCTGATCACAAACAAATAGTTTATTTAGTGAACGGATTAAGCTAAAGGATAATTGGTTTAAGCAAAAATACTAAATTTAAAACAACATAATTTTTTATTCATTATTCTTTTTTCCATCATTTTATTTCTCCATAAAAACCAACTTCCAAACAGGGCCTTAAAGAGATTGGCTTAGTTTGGTATTACTGTAGATTTTAAAAAAATTACTTTTAGCTGTATTGAAAGAAAAAATAGCTATTATAAAAAGCAGTTGTGTGTTTGGTAAACTATAATTATAGTAATTGTGTTGGTTTTAAAATCAGTGTAATAACATTTGATAAATTATGAAATTAAATTGTTGTGTATAGTTAAAAATTATGACGATATTATATTATACTATAATATAATATATATAATTACACTATAATATATATTTATTATTATATTTAATATAATACAAAAAAATTATAATTATATAACATATTATATAA